GTTTGGGGTAAAGTAGGAAATGACTGTAATATGAGCGCTAGGCTGGAGGACATTTCAGAACCTGGTCTCTAGAGTTCAGAGAAATAAAAACTATTTAAATGACGAGTCTTAATATGAATGTGAGTGAAATTCATAGTTTATATTGGCATCACATGCCCACCATGTTAATGGACTGCTATGGCCTCTAAAACAAAAGAATTGACACTAAGAGAAAGACGTCATCTACCCAATATTAGGTAGCTTCTTCAATTAATTACCCCTTGTCTATGTCCAGATCTCCTAAACGCCGTTCTTTAGCTCATTATCTTTGCTCCTTTTGAAAGAAGAAATTTTTTTTTTTCCTGGCCAAGGCTAATAAGCCTTTCACCTTAATGAACGTTTTTTGTAAAATGAGAGGGAAAAAAAACCCAGAATCTAGGAAATAGCGGTGTGGTGATGTTTACACAAGGTAATACATATAAAGCATTTAGCTCAGTGCAGATACATACATATATCTAACAGGTGTTTATTGAGTAACTTCTATGTGCCCGGACTGCTCTAGACACCAGATGCATTGGCAACACAGCACAAAAAAATTCCTGGTTTAGACATGGTTCTAGAAATAAAGTACTCAATAGTGAGCACTTGATAAAAAATTGTTTCCAATTTTATTCTTATGTTTTGTGCTGTTACGTTAATAAAACATAGGATTGTAGATGAAGAAGAGAAACTTCCTTGCTCCTTGAGGGCCTTAACATTTACTATGTACTCCTTAGCAAAGCACAGGGGAAAATTCACTTAATTACTTCCTTGGTTCATATACACGATGACAAAGTAAACATTTATTGAATGGACCTTTTAAAAAGGCAACATATTGATACCGTTGCCTTCATAAAGAAAATGTCAGTTCAGTTAAAAAGTCATCAGGTAAATAAAACAAACAAGTAACCCAAAGTAGCCATCTATTTTTAATAATAGTGAACAACATTGAAGAGAATGTGCAAACGCATAAGTATTTGCTTGGTTAGTAGCTCGTTGACTGGGAGTTTTAAGATACGGCAGAAAATATGCATTTACAAATCAAGCATAGAGGAAACTTGTTAATTCTTAAAAACCTTGTGACTTTCAGGTGAGATAGACTAACAGGGCCCGGCAGTACCTTCCCACCTGAAACAACACATCACAGAGAATATGAAACACCAACTTTCAGGACTCTGAACTTTAGGCAGTGAAGAAAGGTAGTTCTTAAGAGACTCAGAACAAATACACTGGGTGCACAATTTCCCCAGCTACAACAGTGTAGAAAGGGGGACCCATGGGGCGCCCGGGTGGCTCACTAGCATAAGCATCTGACTTGACTTCAGCTCAGGTCGTGATCCCACATTTCATGAGTTCGAGTGCCATGTCAGTCTCTGTGCTGACACTGCACAGCCTGCTTGGGATTCCCTCTCCCTCTCTCTCTCCCCCTCCCCTGATTGCGCTCTCTCTCTCTCTCTCTCTCTCTCTCAATCTTAAAAAAGAAAAAAAAAAGATGGGGGGGGGGTACCCAGGCAGAGCCCAGAGAACTCCCTGCACTGGGGAGACAGTGCAGACAGTCCATGGAGGTAAAGGTAACTAGAATTTGTGGGGCAAAGTAGAAGGAGGGCGATCACCGCTCAGAACAAGAACCCTGGAGATCTGCAGAGGGTCCACTTGTGCTATTCAGCTGAGACCTGAGAGCCTGCATATGTAAAAGGAAACCACCAGGGGGCAGGGAAGGAACCATCTGAGAGGATGGGAAGAAACAGTACCTGGGGGCTCACCTGGGGCCAGGAATATGTGTCCACACTGACCAGCCGAACTGGGAAACCCATGATCCATTGGATGTTGAGTACTTGGAAGGATCCGCCCAGGTAAAGGAGTACTTAGCCCTAGACCAAATGCTGCTCTGTCACCCCTAACAAAGCTGAGCTGCAAGACTCAAGTGTATCCAATTGCTTCCAAGTAGTTGTGCCCCCAAACAGGCCTTAAAATACCTGTAAGGAATATTAAGATATTCAGCACACAAGGGGGAAATTCAAAATGTGTTATGTTTTATGAAAGATCACCATACCATACAGACATCACCCAGTACTCATCCCAAGAAGTGCCCCCCTCAATGCCCATCACCCATTTTCCCCAACCGCCTACCCAGCGATGAATCACCAGAATCTACCCCCGATACTGTATGTTAGCCAACTTGACAATACATTGTATTTATGAGTTTTTAAAGATAAAAAAAAAGTGAAAATTGAGATTAAAAAATGTAAAACAAACAAAAAAAGATCACTATACCTGACAAGAAGCAGAAATAGGGCCTGTACTCAGGAGAAAAGTCAAGCAGTTGGAATTGACACAGGTGCTAGAATTAGCTAATCAAGACATTAAAACAGGTTTTATATGCGTATTTCCTAGATTTCTAAGTTAAAGAGACATGGAAAATCTACAAGAGACCCGAGGGAAACTTCTTGGGATGTTTGATTCATCAATGTTGGAGATAAAAGTATACTCTACAGGATTAATGGTGGATTAGACATTGCAGAGGGAAAGATTGATTAACTCGACAACCAAAGGACACTGTTCAAAATGAAACACAGAGTGAGGGGAAAAAAGGATTTTAAAAATAAAACAAGAATCCATGAGCTGTGGGGCAATTCCACATGATCTAATGTATACTTGGTTGTCACTGAAGGAGGGGTGTTACTGGGGAAAACAGAAAAGAAATCGAGGAATTAATGACTAAAATTTCCCCAGATTTGATGGAAATGATAAATCCACAGATTTATCCAGGAAGCCCAGTGAATCCCAAGCGTAAGAAACATGAGGGAAACTACATCAAGGAGCATTATGATCACGTTGTTCAGAACCAGTGATAAAGAGAAAATCATAAAAGGCAGAGAAGAAAGACACTGGATACACTAAGAACCAAATACGCAAATAACAGAGGCGTTTTTTTTTTGTTGTTTTTTGTTTTGTCAGAAACAATGTGAGAGGACAAATGCCTTACCAAAAAACGAGGGCAAAATAACAACTCTTGTTAGGCACATAAAGCTGAGAGAATCCACCGAAAGAACTGCATGCCAAGAAACACTGAAGGAAGTCTTTCAGACAGAAGGAGAATAATGCCACATGGAAATAAAGATCTACACACAGAGATGAGAAGCTCTAGAAATATGTGACTCTGTTTGCAAGGCAGCTGACATAACGAATTTCCACGTAGAGGCACCAGGGTGGCTCAGTCGGGTTAAGCATCTGACTCTCAGTTTTGGCTCAGATCATGATCTCATGGTTTTGTGGGTTTGAGCCCCACAACGGGCTGTACTTTGGCAGCATGGATCCTGCTTGGGATTCTCTTTCTTTCCCTCTCTCTCTGCCCCTCCCCTGCTCACGCTCTGTCTGTCTCTCTCAAAATAAACTTAAAAAAAAAATAATACTGAATCTCCATGTGCCTATGAAGAATGCTACATGATCTTTAAATATTGTTTTTCACGTGTTATCAATCCAAAGGTATAACTTGGTTTTCTGTTACACAGACAGATGCAGGATAAAATATAAAGCCTGGAAATGAAAATCTTCTGGAATCTGTGTATTTCTGTGGAAAGGAACTGCCAAAAAAAATTAAAATAAAAAAAAAGTAAAACTTGCTGGAAGAAGCAGTGGAGGTTAGGTACACAAAAATGCATTTTGGTAGAGGTCTTGGTTTTTCGTCCTTATGAATCATCTTTGCCATCCTTCAGACATGTAAGAAGAAAGATTTGAGCTCCCATAACATGCTTCCTCAGTTTTAGCACCTTAAAGGAAAAGTTGAGCTCTCATTTGTAAAGTGTCTCTTGGTTCCCCAAAATAATGTTAACAGAAAAGAAATCTCCTGTGGAAAAGGCCAAGGGCATTTTTAATATGTATGGAGGACACACCAGATCCCGCTTTTTACAGGTATCCCCCAAGAATGTCCCAGGGTAGCAAATAAAATAAATGCAACTTTTATGGGAAGACACATCTCTGCGATGTGGCGAGTTATAATTCTTCTAAACTAACCTGTATTTTCAGTATTCTCCAGCATTTTTGTTTTCCCCTACCCAAAACATAACTGTGTAGATAACTTATATTTTACAGAAATTAAATGTGACATTGTAAAAACTTTTCCTGAAATTTTTAGTGAAAATATATGCTTTGCTATAATTATGTTTAGTAAAAAAACTTAAGTGTATGGGAAAATATAATGCAAAGGTGAAAATGTGGTACAAAAGTCCTATAATTGGAAGAGCTACGATCCTTGATGCACTGATTGAATCATTTTTTGTTAATGTTGATCCTTTAACAGTGGATTTCAGGCATTCTTCAAAGCATTCTTCATTGGTTTAATTGGTTTTTTTTAAGGTGATACAGCAAATATCTCAAAAGATACTCATTTAGTAATTAGGTTGTATAGGATCAGTATCATTGACTTTCTCCTGGAGTTTAAAGCCTACAGAAGTATAAGCATTATTTTTCTTCAGTCTACAATATATGTAAGTAATATTATGATCAAGTTAATAGAGAGGCAGCTAGAACCCAGTAGGGAATAAACACAGTACTCCAAATGATAGAAAAATTGTTTCTTTTAACATTTCATGGAATGTTACAATTTTAATGGAGGAAGTATTAATATCCATTGGGTGCTGGCCACCAGTCAAAGAATAATTTTTCATGGGCGGGCTCATTTAATCCTCACCCCGACTTTATGGAATAAGTATTGTAAGCCCATTTTACAGGTGATGAAATCGATATAAGAAAGATTAAATAACTTACTCAAGGCCCTACAGCCAGCAGGTGCCAGGACTGAGATCTGAACTCAGCTCTGTCCGAACTGCCAACCCTTCTTGGGTTTCACAACAGCATCCTCTGCTTCTCCTATTTGACATCTTGATAAATTGCATTTTCCCCTTGACCATCATGTCACTTTGATAGGAATTCCCCTTTGCAAATAGATGATAGAACTCATCTCTTTGGTGGTTTTATTTCAGGAATTACAGTTTGAGAGACTGACCCGAGAGCTGGAGGCAGAACGCCAAATCGTAGCCAGCCAACTGGAGCGATGCAAGCTGGGATCAGAGACGGGCAGCGTGAGCAGTATCAGGTACTGGGCACGCTGCCTCCTTACAGTTCTGGGCTGTGAGCTGCCAGTGAAAGTAAATTGTGGTGTTTGTCTTCTCCTCACAAACCTGGCAGTGGAACGGAACAGTCAGTCGGATGTGGGAAGGGAATTGTAACCGATCTGATTTAAGATGTTCAAAAGGTGTCTGAAATGGCCTGATTTGTACTTGAAACTCCTTTAACAGAATTAACACCTGCCCCGGATGCAAATGGCGCATAATTGTCCGTAAAGGAAGGCTCTGCATGCGGTCAGCTTGCTGGAAATCAGATTCCACAGCACAGTCTCTCAGTCTGGTTCTCTTTTCCTAGATGATCCAGAGTTGCAGGTTCCTGAAGGGAAAGGGAGAACATTTTGGTGTAACCTGTATTGTTTGCTAATATATGATGCTAAAGTGTGAAATCGCACCTCGGTTATCAACCACACAGGCAATTCTCTTGGGTAGAACGATTTCAAATTCATAGATAGAAGAGTTATTCAGTTAGCGGCTGGTTTGAGGTTCCAGAATGTCTCAAAACAAGACGTAGTCACTTGCCCACAAAATAAATGATCCACCCTAGGACCATGTTTTCGTATTTAAAATGTGTGTGTGTGTGTGTGTGTGTGTGTGTGTGTGTGTGTGTGTGTGTATGTGTGTAATGTGAGTATGTGTAAAAGAATCATGAAGCTCTCTATAAGACAGCTTTTATTTCTCAGTAATGCATCATACTTTTCTATCGTCCTGTTCTACATTGTGTTTTTGACCTTCTACATTTTTAGGGAGGAGTCTTAGTTCAGGAAACAATAGTTGCTGTGGCAAATCAACTCCAACATTGCAGTGACTTAATGCAAGAGCAGTTTGCTTCTCATTTATTCAACAGATGGAGGTAGTGGATGGTAACCAGGGGCTGCCCCTCCGCTTTCCCTCCGACAGTGATGAAGGATCCAGCTTCTCTCTTGAGAGCTCTGTCATCCCTATACCTCATTGTCAATTGCATTGCCAGTTGCATCACTGCAGCTACAAACCATTGGTGAAAACCAGTCACGTGGCCTCTCGTAGATGGAAGAAGGGTGGGGATCCCTAGACCTGGGGTCTATAGCCACTCTGCTCAGGAGCATGAATTTGATGGTCTCTTAGCCACCTGCTCTGACAAAAGAATTAAAAAGGTCCTTGTCTCCATTGCTCTAAAATATTTTATCATTGTAGTCAGAATGTTTCCCACCAGAGTCATTTGCCATCGGTCTTTTAACATCATTCTTTTTTTTGTTTAACAATGATGAATTTTTGCAAGGAGATCATTGCACTCTTGTTAGACTAGCTTCCTTGGGTGCAATATCATTTTCCATCCCAAAACTTTATTTTGGGCATGTGAAAGTGTATCCACCTCTGCATCCAAGTACCTAGGTTATCAGTAGCTGTGAATGGGTACATGGGGACCCCTTAAACTCATCACAGATTTGTTGAACACCCAGATTAACCAAAGCAGAATGGACAAGAAAAAAATGCGAATTGTGCCTACCTGAAATTGTTTACAGAAGGTTGACTGGTTGAAGATGGTGAGACTAAGTCAGGGAGAAAAATGTTTGTAAATATGTATTCGAACCAGTTCCTACGGTTATACGTATTTGAAGAGCTTTTTGTTAAAGATGTTTTTTTCTTTTCCCCTACTTCCTGAGAAGCTAAGACTGTCAGGTTTTTAGGTCTATACACACCACTGAATTCACGTTTATTTTGCTTTGAAACCCGTTGTTTCGTTATTGGTCAGTTTCTATATCCAGTCTTTCTGTGTGCTATGTTTGCATACTGTACATCTTTTATTTTATTAAATCCACCCCCAGCCCCTGGTAGAAATAGGTCTAGGGGACCATGTTGTATCCTGTGCCTGAATGCCCAACCTCTGATTGGATTAGAGATAGATATCTGATCTAATGGTGATTCATCCAGTGACCAACCTGTAAGAAATTGGTCTTACTCTTGAAAACGCAAAATAAGTGATCCACAGGTGCCCGGGTAGCTCAGTCAGTTAAGTGTCTGACTTTGGCTCAGGTCACGATCTCACAGTTTGTCGGTTTGAGTCCCACATCGGGCTCTGTGCTGACAGCTCGGAGCCTGGAGGCTGCTTCAGATTTGTGTCTCCCTCTCTCTCTGTGCCTTCCCTGCTTGTGCTCTGTCTCTCTCTCTCTCTCAAAAAATAAATAAATATTAAAAAACATTTTTTTAAGTAAGTGATCCAAAGTCTGTGACATCTAATGGTAAGCGGTAGAGGACAGTGGCCCTGTGGATTCGTGCCAGTGGAGGCATCTGTATGACAAAAAGTAGTCCCAACAGAGAGACTGTATTGTTCCTGAAAGTCAAACAGGCCAGTTTGCTTATCATTGGGAGCAGCTGAATTTTTAAATTCTTAAAAACTTCCCTCCTCCCTCATTTGATTTGACTGAATTGATTTCTTTTCCTTGGGTCCAAGGTATCTGGAATAGAACCCATCAGTGAACTACCAAAGTTGACAGAAAAATTATCCCATGACAACTTTTGATTCTTAATCTTATATTCTTAGCTCTCAGCCATGATACACAATCAATAGTTCTGTGTAAAATATATATTGAATGGTAATGTTAAGTGCAGATGACACTACCTAATTATTTCTCTTTGCCAGATAGCTATATAATGTCAGTTTTCATTAAGCTTAATTATTTTGTATATTGGAAATCTCCAGTGTATGAATCTGCACTTGAATAATACAAGCAATTTACTGATAATTCATTGGGGGAAAGTCTAATACATAGCTTCCACTGTTCTTTTTTTGTCATAACCTAGTTGTTTGCTCAGCTTCAGAAATCACCTTTGGAAATTCAGGTCTTTATTAAGTGTGATAGACTAACCTAGTTAGCACATCAAAAGGAATATTCAAAAAACATTTAAAAATAGAATACAAACATTTTTTAAAAGGAGAATAGGTAAAGAAGTCTTTGATAATTTAGATGTTGTTTCGTACTTCTTAGGGATGCTAAGGAGGGGTAAGAGAGTTTCTTAGAGGAAATGAAACAAACCAAATATTTTTTAGACTTTTAGTGGAAGTGGTAAAAATGACTCATAAATATAGTTTGGTTTTCCTCTGCCTTTTATCAGTGATAGGAAACTCTCCATTTGGTTTCTAAGACTCTTTCCCTGGTAGTCACATTGACAGTTGAAACTTTCAAGAAAACTTTTGTTGATATGCATTTATAACAGTCAACTTTATAATAATCAGATCATGAGCGTGAACACTGGGAACTTGGAGAAGGAAAAGCTGGAGCTCCCTGTTGGTGAAGCACGTCAGCTACTGTGTCCAAACAGCCAGACCTTCAGTAGCTGCAAATAGGAATGTTGTGATCTCCTAACATCTTCACAGACTTTTTTTTAATGTTTATTTATTTTTGAGAGAGAGAGAGAGAGACAGAGCATGAGCACGGGAGGGGTGGAGAGAGACAGGGAGACACAGAATCCGAAGCAGCCTCCAGGCTCTGAGCTGTCAGCACAGAGCCTGACACGGGGCTCAAATCCCTAACCATGACATCATGACCTGAACCGAAGTCAGACATTTAACTGACTGAGCCACCCAGGCGCCCCGCTTCACAGACTTGTCTAAACGTCCGTGTTGGTATTGAAGCTTCCCGAGTTCAGATGCATTAGTGGTGAAGTGTTGGGATTCTTCTACACAGGAATTATTGGTGCTTCTTACTGCAACTACACATCCACCATGCACCTTATCTCCTTCCTGACTTGGCTTTGCTCACTCTTTCCAGCCCAGTCCTTTCCAAGGTGTTAGATTCTGCTCCCTTCCCATGAGAGCGTTTGGTTTCACATCTTCTCCTTGATTGCTCAGAACCATCCAGATCCGAGTCAGGAACTTTACTTACACAGATGTTGCCCTTTATTCAGGGTCATGATCAAATCCCCCTTGCTCGTGGCTCACTCCCACACTCTGGCCACTTGTGATTACTTGGCTAATGCCCGTCCCTCAGGCCAAGGCCTGTCAGTGATCATGGTCTGACAGCCCTGTGAGCCATTCATTCCCTCCCAGGCTGGGGGCCATGCATTACTCTTTTAAGTCTCCTGGTCTGAGGACCTGTTTATACCTGTACCCATGTCATTCTCTCCACAGACTCTAATAACAGCATTCTAGCTCATCCTTCTGCCTGCGGTATGCCCAAATCTATCCCCCATACAGGGTGAGATTGAGCTACATAATACATAAATCAGAACCGTGTTCGTGAAGCATTCTTTCCCACTTCTATAAACACACCTGTCTTTCCCATTTCAGTGCCTATGACCATGTGATCCCTTCTATCTAGAATGTCTTCCTTCTTTCACCAGGACACCCCCTCCGGTGAATCCAGTTACCCAGCTGAGGGCTCATATCCTTCTGAACCTTTCCTTGATCAGTCCAAATTGGATCAGGTGTCCCTTCCTTGAGGGTCATTAGAACTTAAAGCATTAGAGATGAGACACCATTGACGCTTTGAGAGGTTGCCTGCCAGAGAATGTCTAACCTTCACTCAAAGGATGTGTGGGGATTTTCTCGAGTGCTACTGAAAATGTAAGGACATCAAAATAGATGACTAATCATATCCCTGATTCCCAAGAACACAATGGGAGAAACACTGAATGCAAACCAGAGTTGAACCTATCTTATGGACTCTTCTTAAAGGACACCTGACTCTTGGAAACAATGATGTTGATGATGATGATGATGATGATGATGATGATGATGATGATGATTTATAACAATGGTCTAGAGCTCAGAGACAAAGGAAGTCAAAAATTCAAAGCTACAGAGATTTGACACATAAATTCTCTATTGCTGGCTTTAAAGATGGAGAGGCTATGTGACTAGCAATGCACATGGCTTCTAGAAGCTGAGAGTGATCCTTGACTGACGGCAGCAAGAAGAGGGTCTCAGTACTAAAACCAAAAGGAATTGAATTCCGCTCACATCCTGAATAAACTTGAAACAGATTATTTTCTA